GTCCCCAATAACACGCATAAAATAAATAAGTGTAAAATAATAACCATCAAATTATTAATTGCATTTACATTATTTCATTGCCAGCCGGGCTACATCACGTAGAGTGTAGACAATATTATTAATTATTAATAATATTTTACATTCGTAAGTATCTATATACACGCCTAACCATCAACCGGTGGTCGAAATAACATCACTAGGAATTGCACAATTCTTTTTTATTTTATGCTCGTATCAAAGTGGAATTATACAGAACATTATCATTATACATACGGACGGTTCCATATAATATAATAATGGCACGGATTTTGTTTACGAATATAAAATATAATACGGTAGTATATGCGCGTTTTCGGGGGAAAAAAATGATGTAATGATTAAGGCGCCTTGTGGGTGGGCGGTAGTTACAATGATGATGTGCGGGTGGCGGGGTGGGTTGTTACACAATTTAAAGCGGGCCGTCGACGAAGACGCGTAATCGCGCTTACATGTCACACACAATATTTTATTGCGTATAATATATCAACAATATACGCGATAACAATATTAAAACAGCGTTGCGTACTGGACACGCCGAGTTTGTTTTATAGTGAGCCTTCTTCTTGTAAGTATATCATTATAATTTATAAMAATCTAATAAAAACGTAGGATCAGTAGCGCACACTGAGTTGTGATTAGAACTGCAGTGTATATTATAATAAGCCACCTGCAGTATAAGGACGACTAGTAAGTTATCAGACCATATTTAAATCGGAAACTGGAAATGTTCCGATACGTAACGACGAGGATCTTCTATATAATATTAGACAGTATTAAATAATAATAGTTTGGTATTGCACTGTACCACGGGTTACAATAAATCCTCTTATCGATCGATCGGGATTCGTGAAGTGCGTCGATCGTATGGAAGGGATTTCGATATCGAATGTTATAGGTATAGATTACTACACGAAAAAATGTACTGTCCTAAGTCACAACGATATGTGACACATATAGTGCATTATAAGTTATAAGTTATAATACTGAATTATACACTAGAAAWTTCTCGTGCAGTAAAATAAGAATTTAATGTTCAATTTATATTATTTAATTATAATGAATTAT